GCATTAGCTCAAAAACTGTGCTGTGTCCCTTTTCAGAAATTCAGGGTGGGCTTTGCCTTGCCACCGTTCCATGTAGACGTGAACTTTCATCTCCTTTTTACTCATTACACAACTATTTCCTATTGAGCAGTCAGCTAGTTGATCAACAGCTAATCAGTCTTAGCATATCAGGATGTGGATTTTAGTGGCTCTGGTAAACAGTAGAATAATACAATGGCACTGCCATAAATTTAGATTGTAACTGCAATGGGAAAGCCAACTTCTTTGTCTTGGAATATATGCTTATCATTAACACCATAAAACTGCATCGTGGTGAATTGAAAGAATTGTTTGAATCATCCCTGCAGTGCTAGCAATAATAATGTTTTTATGTCTATGTTGTTCACTTGGCATCTGACATAGAAACAACTGCATCAAACTGACATATGCTTTTTTTCCCTGCAGAAAAAGGGTAGCCGCTGCACAGTTCAGACTTTGCAAACAGTTGTTCATGGATGACCTACATATGAAATTTCAGTGCTGAACATTTGTGACAAGGGCTGTGAGGATACCATGCTTGCTTGTATTTAGGGTCTGGGACATAACAGGATTACTGGCTGCAGAAAGTTGAGTGTGTCATTTTAACTTTTTCATGCAGCTTTCTGGTAAATTGGGTTTGAGCTGCATATTAATACATCCTTCTTTGCTACTATTAGACATGTAAACTTTCCATTTCTATGTAAACCTCAGCAATCTGCCCGACTTAGCTTTGCAATGATAAAAATAGATAAGAGCATTATATTCAATTTTTATTTTTTATATGCCCCCCCACCCCGAACTGGTTAGCTTTGTAGAACTGCATGCTGAAATTTTCAGAAGTAGCTGGTAATTAGGGATACTTCAAAGATCCTTAGCCCAAAAACTCCCCATTGGTGGAGACCTTTAGTTTATTGCTTCACCACTTAGCTATTAGTGGCGTATTTGAATCGCATGGGATAGTTAGTATGGTGCAGTGCTAAGAGGGACTTGGGAGACCCAGGTTCAAATACCCATTCAGCCATGAAGTTCACTGGATGACCTTGGACAAGTTACTGGCCTTATTTGGATGTAATTCTAAACCAGACTTTCCTGCCCTGCTGCCATCCAAATGTTTTGATCTTCAACTCCCTCCAGACCCTGCCAAAATGCCCAGTGGTTGGGAACATTGTGGACCATGAGACAAAGTGTGCTGATTCTTTTGCTTATGCACTCCCAGCACTTGACATGATTGTGAAAAGGAGTTCAGAAGCTTTTGCTTCTGTTCTAAATTAATTGCAACATGTTATGACATCTGCAAAGTCATAAGAAACTGTAGTCAATCATATCTGTAATTTATGGAGCTAGGTTGTTTCAGTAAGCCCAGTTTGTCATAGCTTGTGGGTATTCCAAAACAGGACAGTATCAGTGCTTTAAAAAGAATCAGGTTTGTGTATTTCAATCAGGTTGTTTTCCGTTTTTAAACATAAAATACTAAATTTCTGCCTCATTTAAAAATTAATATCGTTATAGTTGAACCTAGTCACCCCCATGCTAAACTTAGAGTCTCATGAAAATGAATTAAGAATGGTTATACTCACAAACATTGAGTGATCTGCCAATCAGATAGTGACATTCATTTTAGTTTTTTCTCTCATAAAATGACTCTGTCCAGCCTAACTACTTGCTGTTGTTTTTAAAAATTTCTTAACTTGGCCATAATTCAATGGTAGAATACCTGCTTTGATTTAAATTCAATCCATTCTGGTCTAAAATAGAAGCAAAAATCTTCAGAACTCCTCATGGCCACACCTGCTGAGGAAGGAAAACGCATGAGCCTAGCACTGGCTGAACCTCGTTCTTTAAAAACTAAACCATGGTTTACCGTTCTATCCAAAGGCAGCCATCGACAATGTTCAGATGTAACAAATTTGAATGCTGCATTTGAGGATTGTTATCATGATGTCCAGACTCAGAAACTTGGGGTTATTCATGGGTTAAACAACCCCAAGTAAACCTGTGGCTTGTTCTTGGGTTAACTTGAGGTTTTATCGTGCAAATAACCCCAAGTTTGGACATAATAATAGCAACCTTGAACGTGGTATTCAAGGGGTGTTTGTAGAAACAAGAAGCAGCTTGTGTGCAATGAATACCTTACAATTCCTGAGTTAATTAACTTGTGAAGTGTCTTCAAGCATGCAAACATAAGGTGCCTTTTCTGGAACCTAGGTGTCTAGCCATGATTGCTTCAAAGCTGGATTGGGATCGGTGACAAGAAAGGCACTGGGTAAATATGAGAATTATTTCTGCCTGATGCTTCTTTTCACAAGCATTGGGAAATAGTTCCTCCAAAAGCACTCTTTGGAATATAGTCATGTTGGGAATAGAAGCTATGGACAAAGCTGAATAAATACATGCCTTGTATTTCATCTCAGAGGTATGGACAAAAATTTCTGAAAATAATACTATGGTTATTTTGATTATTAATATTAATAATGGTGGTGACAGCAATGGGGGCACTGGCAAGGCTTTCTTTTTTTCCTGAAGAGGAGGCAAAGTAGCATTTTTATAGTTAAGAAAAGTGGAGAAGAAAAGGGGATGAGTCTGGTGGCATAAATACAGGAACTCTAATGTTTAGGTTGGGATGTGGAAACATCTTGGATAAGGGCATTTGGCTATTTAGAGCAAGGTTCATCAAAGCCTGCTTCATTGCTTTGTCCTCAGGAAAGCAGGTGATCTTGGGGAAAGGGAGTTCAGGAGAGAAGTAGAAGTATGAAAAATGAAGAGAGCCATGGAAGGGAGAGGCTACAGGAAAGAGGAGACATATTAGAGAAGGCAGACCAGTTGTACTTCAGGCACTGGGATTATAAATGGTGGTGCAGGCTGGGTGATACTGCTGCATGTTAGATGCATGAGCCATGCCCATTCTGCTTTGGCAAGGAAACACCTGAAACATACAGATAGTTAACTAGAGTCTTTGTGTCCCCATAAGTGAGCCCTCTGAGCTGTTTGCAGGAAATAGATTTCTGGCAATGATTTCTGCTGTCAACTCTTTGTGCACCATAAATAGCCATCTGATTCCTCTTCGGATGAGCTGCATTACTGGTAAAACATGTAATCAAAATATCTTAGTTTGTAGGAAGGCAGTTACTGGGTGAGCATCCAGTTCATCCCTTGTATGCGGGATGAACTGCAACCAGGCTGCATAGAACAACTGTACAAAACCCAATGTCTTTTCTATAGGCACAAGGCAGGACATTAAAGGGGAGATAAGCAGTGAGAGAGAAGTCAGGGACAGACTAACCTCTGAAAGGCAAATTCAAAAGCCAAAGGTGGTGAGTGGCTCAGCTGCTTTTGACGTACAGGCCTTAATTGGGTGCAGCTTTCCTTGAAGCTTGCAGAACAGTGTTTGCTTAAGAGCAGGCTATATTTAGCTCTAGCCTTGGGGAGCCTTGGAGCATTAAGCATATGCACTTTGCAGGACATTCAGTGAGGAGTAATCCCTTAATTCAAATGAGGCTTTAGAGTAATAATAAAATATCAAAACAAATAGTTCAAGAGGTGACATACCCTCCAAACATGTAGCCAGCTTCTCATGGTTGAGGCATATCAATGAGTCACCTTAAGACAGAACTCCAGGTCTCCAAATAAGTCTGCTGGTTATAGCAATGCATGCAAAGGAATTTGTGGGAGAAAATCAGTGGGCAGCAAATCGTGAGGTACAAAATCTTTCCCAGTTTTCTGACTTCCTTCCAACAGCCTGTGCTCCAATTTATCCAGGCATGTAATTTATCCAGGATAAATATGTAGGTTAGTTGGATCTGAAAATCTGCATGTATGCTTTAAGTATAAACTGCTTTTATTCCTTGTTTCATCTGGTGAGCAGATAGTTACTTTGATGGATGGTCCCAGGCATGGTGCCACAAGTAAATCCACCCCTGTGCACTGATCTATTAACGGAATTAGTTCAGTGCATACAAATAAATTGGGGAAAGATTATTTATCTTGATTTTGATATATAAGGTGTTGCTGTATACATTGAATGGCTTCTTAATTGTGGCTTCTCAAATTTCTAATTACCTATGAGCTCCCGGGTAGGACCATCTGGACATCTTTCTTGATGAAATGTTTTTCCATGATGCAAATGCCCCATGCACATTTTGCAAACTCAGAACTTTGATTATTTTTCACAAGTCACTGATTGTAAACTACCCGACTAAGAAAGTTTCATCTGTCCAAAGATGCAAGATGGAAAAAAAAAAGAACAGTCCAGGTTCTAAATCAGTCTTCCCAAACCTGGTGCTCTCCAAAGGTATTTGATTACAACCCACAATATCACTACCCTGCAGAACTGTGATGGCTGGAAATGATGGACATTGTAGTCTACCACTTCTGGAGGGGACTGGATTGGGGAAGGATGTTCTAAATAATACCTGCTATTGTAAAATGTCAGCTCACATCTGGAGTGCTAGATTCAAAGATGGCCTTCTGATGCCTTCACTAAACCTCAGCACCAGTGGGACAATACTGAATTCATTTTTGCTTCTCTTGAAGTATATTGAATAAACAGTTTGACGTTTACATGTAAGCAGCCTTGCCCAGCCGAATGCCCTCCAGATGTATTGGACTACAGCCCCTGTGGACAAGAAGTAATCATTCAGATGAGGGTTACTTTTCACTTAACATGCGGAGGTAGTGCTAGCTGTAAGCAATTTTTTTTACTAATAGATCATTAAAAACACTGTGTCTTAACATGGATTATCTACCTATTCAGTCAAGCAAATCTTTGTTTTTACTGTATTGAACTAAATATACAGAACATTCATATAAGCACAGCAAATCTGTGCTTAAATTTTGTAAGCCACCCAGAGACTGTTAGGAGTAGGGCATTGGCATGTAAATGCAAAAATATAAACAAATAAATCACAAGCCTTCATCCAAAACAAATATAACCGTCAATTTAAGATGATGGACTAAGACATGCTTTTTTCCCTGTTTCCCTACAGGAATTGTTTCGATTATGACGCTCACTGTCCTGGCCTATGAACGTTACATTAGAGTAGTGCATGCGAGAGTGATTGATTTCTCGTGGTCTTGGCGGGCGATCACATACATCTGGCTGTACTCGTTAGCCTGGACTGGAGCACCTCTTCTTGGCTGGAACCATTACACACTAGAAATACATGGACTGGGTTGTTCAGTGGACTGGAGGTCAAAAGAGCCCAATGATTCTTCCTTCGTCCTCTTTTTCTTTCTTGGTTGTCTAGTGGTGCCAGTTGGGATCATGGCCTACTGCTATGGGCATATTCTTTATGCAATACGAATGGTGAGTTGGCAAGTGCAGTCTGGATCGCTGAAAATATCCCTCATGTTGTAAACCTTATGCAAATCAGATGACTGTGTACTTGTTTTTAAAACTCCCCTTTTGTAACACATGGTGCCTGACCCATTTTAGTGCCTCTTGTTCATGAGACCCAAACATAACTATTGTTCTCCGTCGTGGTCTCTGTGTATCACAAATATTGCAGCTTTTGGATTTTTCCTGCTACAGTACACAGTGTTACTGTCCTGAAGGGGAATGGAACAGATCACTGAGCTGTAAATTATGCTAAGGTTTGGGTGGCTGCACTGAGCAATCTTTTGCTTCGGCATGTGTCATGACATGGTAGAATTCACTGCAATGTGCAGTGAGCAATAAAGAAAGGATCTTAAGTATACACATCAATAAAATGCACTTAAAATAAGACGGTCAAATTAAAAATCTTCATAATGGGGTAAGTCCCACTGCAGTATTTACTTCTGAGTAAACCTGCTTAGGATTGCAGTATAAATGGGCTGGATGAGGGCCAGTAAACTGAAGCTCAATCCAGACAAGATGGAGGTCCTGTTGGTTGGCGGATTGGGCTTCGGGGAAGGTGAATTGAACCTAGTCCTGAATGGGATTGCACTCCCTCTTAGGGACAAGGTCCGCAGCTTGGGAGTGCTCCTCGACCCAGAGCTTTCACTGGAAGCTCAGCTGACAGCAGTGGCGAGCAGCGCTTTCCTTCAGCTTTGGCTGATCCATCATCTGCGCCCCTACCTGGAGAATGACTGCCTGGCGACAGTGACACACGCATTGGTGACTTCCCGACTTGACTTCTGTAACATGCTCTACGTGGGGCTGCCCTTGAAAATGGTCCAGATACTTCAATTGGTTCAAAATAGAGCTGCCAGGCTGCTGATGGGGACTGGGCATTATGTTCACATGACTCCAGTTCTCCGTCAGCTTCACTGGCTTCCCATTGAAGTCCAGCCCAATTCAAGGTGTTGGTTATGACCTATAAAGCCAACGGCTTGGGTCCTGGTTACCTGAAGGAGCGCTTACATCCATATATGCCCGCCCGCTCCTTGAGATCAGCGGGAGAGGCCCTTCTCCGGGAACCCTCCGTGAAGGAAATTAGGAGGGTAAGTACTCGGAGGAGGGCTTTCTCTGCGGTGGCACCCAATCTATGGAATGCGCTCCCCAGAGAGGTCCACCTGGCGCCATCGTTATTTGTTTTTCGGCGCCGGGCGAAAACCTTTTTATTCAAACGTTATTTTAATTGTTAATATTATTTATTTATAGGGCAACTTGATTTATACTGTTAAATTATATTGTTTTATATTTGTTATTTATTTATGATTGTGAGCCGCCCCGAGGCTTCGGTGAATGGGGTGGCATAGAAGTTTCCTAAATAAACAAACAAACAAATAAATAAGACTCTGCTGTCACTACATCTAGAAAAATGAATTAATTTGTGGTTCTGCATTTTCCACAGTATCTAATTGACTCCAGGAAATAGGCTATGCATTTTTCAGAGCATTCTTAAAATACTGAAAAAGCTGTCCCAGCATAGTGCCTCTCAGGTTGTGGCTCATGACCTACTAGTGGGTCTCAGTCAAGTTGCAGGCAGGTCTCAGGGCTGCAGTCTGTCCAGAACCAGAGGGCAAACCAATGAGGCGAACAGAAACGTATCTTGCCCAAGAACGACAGCCAGAGTCAGAGGTGGAAGCCTGAGTTCGGAAGTACGGAACCCAAGTAAAGCAGCGTTTGTTTGCAGCATGGCTTTCTTGCAGTTGAGAAATTAAAAAAAACTTAAATACAATCAAAGAGGTGCCAAGGAGGTGTCCTTGAGCAGATCGATGTCCGTGAGCACCATATTGGAAACCCAGACCCGGGGAGCAGTCCAGCACCCTCTGCTTCAGACTGCTGGCAGTTGGGCCACTCTGGCTTCTGCAGCTACGGCTTAACTGGTTGTAGTTGGCTGTTCGTGGCAGCCAAGTGTGCTGGGGAAGCATCACTCCTGCCAGCACTGCAGTGAACGACAGAGGGGTGCCCATTCCTCCAGTAATTGATGCCTGCTGACCTTTTGCTCCAAAAACTAGCGTTCCTCCCCTTCAGCCCAGCATTCCCTACTGGCTGCACTCAGCCTTCCCTGAGCTGGTTCCTTTCAGAGCTGTTTAACTACAACTCGCATTGGTTATCCAGGCTGGACATGATAGGAGTTGTAGTCCAACTTATCTGGAGGGCACTAGGTTGAAGAAGGCTGGACTACAGGAAGACCAAGTATGTATGTGAAAACTGAAATGTAGATCGTGAACTCATAGTTCATGCATGGTTTAGAAACAAAACTAAAGCACCTTTTGCTTTTAGTAATCTCATTCTTATTTGCCTGAAAATTTACTACCACCACTGGAGAGTCACAGCAACAAAGGAGGCATTCCTTTGCAGTTCCACATGACTGCGGACTGTGCATGATAGCTGCTATGGTTATCTAGCCCAGTCCCTTCCTAACAGTAGCTTATAGAAGGACCTACTGCAGCCCTCCTACCTTGTCTTTTGTGCTTACAGACAGTGTAGTGTGTTTACGGGAACAGAATTTCAGAATGTCTTCCCATTAAATGCTCCTTGTCAATCCAGGGCCCAGGCCAAAGTTGATGGCTAGTCTAGTCAAGTAAATTCCTGGCTGGAGAGGAAGGGCTCGATGGGAAATCCAGATGTGTTCTGCAGCTTCCTGTGCCAGTTGCTGGCCATCACGCTGTGAGCACTCATGCTGAGGGCTCCATTAGGGGTTGTAGCACTTTGGCGCCACAGGGCCAAACATCAGGTGGTTGGAAGAATCAGGCCTTAGGAAGGAGAGGCGAGGAGCTCAGGTGCTGTTCACTATGTTTCAACAGCTTCCTTTTATTTTCAGCTTCGTTGTGTTGAAGACTTGCAGACTGTCCAAGTGGTCAGAATCCTAAGATACGAGAAGAAAGTGGCAAAAATGTGTTTTTTAATGATAACCACATTTCTCATTTGCTGGATGCCTTACGCTGTGGTCTCTCTTCTAATAGCTTATGGGTATGGTCGTCTTATAACACCAACTGTGGCTATTGTTCCTTCCTTCTTTGCCAAATCAAGCACTGCCTACAATCCAGTCATCTATATTTTCATGAGCAGAAAGGTAAGCCATTTAAAGGAGCAGTATCAGAAGCATCAGGTCTTAGTCATGGTGTAATGCAAGAGTCTCTTTGGAGCACAGATAGAACTTACACATGATCTTGCAGGTGTGTGTGTTCTCATCATAGAACTACATTTATACCTTTGGCATTCAGATTCGGGGTGGAAAGCTCTCCCAAGGATTGGCAGAAGTCCGCTCTAAAGAAAGAGCAAGATCCCCCCTGGCCTAGCTGTGCATCAGTGTTGGCTCAAGGTGATGTGGGGAACTTGAGCAAGATGCCCTCCATGTTCCCCTTCCCAAGTTAATCCACCTTCTCATCTGCTCCAGCTCCTTGTCCCCTTTCTTGTTGCTGCCACTTGTTTGCTCAGCAGATGAGCAAAGTCAGCAGTAGCATCGCTTTCTTGCTTCTACCATTGGCTGGGCCAAAAGCAAGAGGCAGGCATACTTAGCAGGTTGCAGGGCCAAGGAGGAGGTGCCGTTCTGGGGGCCCTTCCTTTTGCCTGTCTTTTCTGGGTCACATGCTTTTTTGGTTTTCAGGACCAGAACTAAGAAATGCACAAGACTGATAAATAAAGAGGCAGTACCTGAATCACAGTATTAATGAATGTGTCAGGCAGATACTTAGAGCTCAGTCCTGTGGCTAGCTAGGCAGAGTTTAGCTGGCCACTGGAGAAGTCAGAGTCTCATTCTTTCTGAGCCACCACAGCACATCCTCAGGGCAGGCAGTTTGTGTGTGGTGGGGAGTGAGGTATGCGGGGTGAGGTCCTGTAATAATATGGCATATCCTGGCTAAGTCTTTCGTAGGATGGGAGGAGTGTGGCGGTGATCTTTGCCTCTTCACTTTTTCTGCCCTCCACTGGATTCCTGAGATCCTCAGAGTTCGGAGGGTGATGGGCAGCTGTTACCAGGATCGGTTGCTCATTATAGTTGTGTTATGCCAATGTTTAGTTCTTTTGTTGGCAGCGTTGAAATCAGATCTATTGGCTTATTTGGAGTCATAAACTGCCTTGTTCTTGTCTGCAGTACTCCTTAGATAGAGTATGCGAAACTGATATTTGAGATCATAATGTCATTTCCAGAAATAATTTTTAAAATGTCCTGAAGGGCAGAGGATATGATGACTACTTGAATCCAATATAATTGGTGAACAGGGACAGGAGAGGGTTTTTTTGTTTTTTTAGTTTACCTTTTAATGCAAAAGTACCTAATTCACACTTCTTGAACTGCTACATGAACTCAAATGCACTTATCCACTGGTATTTACACCTCCTAGTTGTGCCACCGAGTTCTGCAGTCAAGGAAATACAGTGTACAAAAATGTTGTTAATGAACATGTATTCAAATACATTATGTCTGAAGAAATTGATTGTAAAAATGCATATATCAGGAGAAATCAACCTGAACATGCACACAAATTTCAGTATGAACTTTAAAAAAACAAACCGACTGACATGAACATGGACTGGAATAGATTTAAGACTGAGTAAATGAGAAACTGAAAGAAACTGAATTTGATAGATACATTCATCTCTAGAGGTGATGTATTCCTGGAAATCATTCAAAAGGAACGGCCCCAGACCGACAAGTCCTGTTACCCTGAAATCTCCATCTAGCTGAATTTCATATAATCCCTCCTGGCCTTTTTGAGGGCAGCTGGCCATTCCAGCCATGGAGAGAAGATGTTTCATAATCACTCCTCAGTGGGCAGGTGTTTCTTGCCACTGCTGGAGGGTGGGGAGGTTGCTTTCCACATGGGCAGGGACAGCAGGAGCAGGGAGTTGCAGCATGACTCCCTGTCTTTTCCCATTTGGCTCTCTCTGCATGTGTTCGACTTGCAACACACATCGCCCCCCATCACTGGTCCCCCATGACCGTGCAGCCTGGGAATTGTGGGACTGAGAGCTGTAATCCAGCGCATCTGGAGGGATCCTGGTTGGGGAAGGTGGTGCTTTGTTATCTTTGCACTCCATTCACCAGGTTGTTGTTAGAGCTCCTGTTCCTCACTTGGGGGCGGATTTTTGTCACCACAAATTGAGTGTGTCACTGGATCCAGCTCCGGATTTAGAACACTAGTGCTGCTCCCTTTTTGGGTGCCGTATTTGCACAGCACAACAAGCCATCCTGTGAATAAGCTATGCAGTGGGGGGTTATTCAGGGAACAACCCACAGTGCACCCAACTGATAGCTGAGCTCACCCTGGCTTGTCCTGGTCCTCCTACCTCCTCAGTCCAATGTCCCCATACCCTTCGCAGCATACCATGTATTATCACTCCCTTCCTGCCCCAATCACTACCCCTTTTAATTTGCTGCCGGGGGTTTTCCCCCCTTTTGGAGGTGCAGAAAGGTGCTTTTGGATTTGCTGTTTTCCCAGCCCCTGAAATGCAACCGCTTTTGTCATTTTATTTATTTTTGTTATCCTTATATGTGTAGTTTTGCCTGGTCAATGTCCTTGTAAGTTTCAGCTATCAAAGTGGCAGCATACATGGAAACGGATGTAGGACTGCACATAAGCTAATTTTCACACAGTTGGCAGGGATCACATGCCTAGCTGTTAATTGAGAAGCGCTGGTAAAGGGAGAAAAACAGTGGCAATGTAGGCACCCAAAGGGGGTGGTGACGACCTCATCCACGTAGCAACACATTTCTCTATCTCGCAAGTGTTGAACTGGCCGTCCGCAGTGCCCCCCATCTTTTCAACACATCCTTGAGTCCCCAGCAGCATCAGAAAGGGGATATATTAACTCCCCCCTTTTTCAGAGTTTATCCTACCCTCCCTCCAAGTCCAAGCATAAGCAATGATCGGGATCTGATTTGCCCTCTAAGATGTTGCTACATAGCCAGATCTGATTGGTTAAAAGGTGCTTTGGTATCCTCACACACAGCATGAATCCCCAATTAGATGGGGTCATACTGTGAAAAAAACTGCCTCTTTCAAAATTGGCTCCCATGCAGTAGCTGCAAAGAACTATAAATGAATCTGGGAGCAGGGGGATTACATTTGTTCCAAACAACCCAACTCCCTTCACACTTCTACTTGTTTGTTGGCACAGCCTGAATCCTGCATGTAGTGAAATCATACTTAAATCACACATCCAGAGTCATTTTCATTGCATGCTTAAACTTTATGAAATGTGTGAGCCTTGCATTATTTCTTTCACCACTTTTACAGCAAGGTGGGCATTTCAGTCACATATTGATCAAACATTCTTCATACAGTTATCCTGTGTTGGTGCCAATAAAGCTTGTCATGCACAGCAGGGATGGAGAATGTTGTTGGATTACCTATCCTATCATTCCTCACCATTGTCTAAGCTAGGGCTAACAGGAGATGCAGTCCACCAGCTTCTGGAGGGCTACAGCCATGAAAGATACCCACTTTCATGGGTTTCAACTGTCCATATCCAAGATGATGCCAAAATTGAAGCTGAGGATCTTCATATGATAAGAATTAATAAGAATTAAAATGAATAACTAAGTGGATAATAAAAATAAATAAAATTAAACTGATAAGGTATCAAAGGCAGCTCAATGGAGAGGCTCTTGCTCTGTTGCCCTCTTGGAAACTGCATCCTTGTCTTCATATGTTTGTGAACCTCATGGAGGAAGGGGATCATTTACCAAAAGATGCAGTTGGAGCTGAAGCTGATTTACCGTGACCCCTGTGTTCTCCTGGAATTTACTGTGTGGCAGTGCAGGCTCCTGAATTCTCGATTTCCACTGTGATTTCCCTTCCCCACAGTTTCGCCGATGCCTTGTGCAGCTCTTCTGTGTTCGCCTCCTGAGATTCCAGAGGAGTTTGAAAGACAGACCAGCAGCAGGAAATGAAAAGCCGATCAGGCCCATAGTTGCGTCTCAGAAGGCGAGAGACAGGCCGAAGAAGAAAGTGACTTTCAGCTCGTCCTCGATTATTTTCATTATTACCAGTGACGAAACTCAACAAATAGATGACAGTACCAAATGCCCAAGCACAAAAATCAATGTGATCCAAGTGAAGCCACTATAGCAAGCATTGGTCAGCAGCTGTCTCAGTTTGAGAGGAGTTCAGCTAACAAAACCCATTTGGTTTAAAAACTTTTCTTTGTGGGGCACCCAGGCAAGCACCATCTTTGAGGTATGAAGTATGGAAGTAATTCAAGCTCATTTACTTGGGAGTATGTCCTACTGAACTTGAACGGGCTAACTCCTTAGTAGCAATGTGTAAGATTGCAGTCTTCGTGACTGAAAGCACCTTGGCACATGAATTGTGATGACTGTATTGAAACAACAGCTGAAAGATGTGTTTCTTTTTTACTTAGAATATTTATTTTTCCATATTGTGTCTTGATTACTTAGCACTCAATGCACTGTAGCCATACCAGGGAATTAAAAGAGCTTCTTAAGTAAGCGGTCATTTCTTCCAGAGTCTCAGTAATCATTATGCTTTTCAGCATTTTCAACATTTCAGCGTCTTAATAGCTGCTGAAACGTGTGCCTTGCATTCAGTAGTTGCTTTAGGCCTCTTGACATGGTGCCTGAAACACTCTCCTTGGATTCAGTATAGGGCCACCTTCTCCAACCAGGTGCTGTCCTGATGTGTTGGACTATAGCCAAGGAAATTGGGCTCCTCCAGGCAATTGCGTCTTTGTGTGACATCTTTCCCTCCTCAAAACTAATTAATTTCATGAGAGAGGAGTAGAAATCGAGGAGCGTGGCTGTCCTAAGAGCCAAGCTCAGGAAGTGGTCACACCAAATGTGTTAAAAGAGCAGAAAGGCAGCACTTTAGGCAAAGGTGCATTAAGATGTGTCGTAAAGACAGCTAACGTGGCAAATCTTCCTTGTGGGTACAAAAGTTTAGTGTTCATAAATGAAAAGCCTCCAAAGGCCTGGCAATGATCAACTGAATCTAAGAGACAAGCCTGACACAGCACTTGAAGCAGCTCCAGGAAAGTGGTCCAGCCCTTCCATGCTGTGGTCTGGACAAAAATTCCCCCAACGTGGTGGCTATTAGCCTTGGAAGGCAACTTCCTTCATTTCCAGGTCTCAGAGCCAGTGTGCAACAGTCAGTGGGGAGGAAAGAGTTAAGCTCTGTGTGCATTATAAATGCCAAACAACCCAGACACCATAGGGAGCCGTGTAGCTTGCACGGGCTCACATGACAAAAGCAGGTAGCACTTCTCCCACTTAAAACTGCTTCGAAAGGGATCCTTTGGGGAAGAGCGGTGTCCGCTTTGGTTTGGATTTTGCAGGATTTGGATGCTACAACAAGCCACACCAGTGCAGTTTAACTCTACCAATTGGCTGCTGTGCACAGGATGTTTAACGGGCCACCATGGCTGATCGGCTCCCCGGCAGTTGTGGGCCTCTTCTCTCCGCGAGTCCACCTTCTCGCCACCATCGCCTTTTGGCTCTTGTTGCCTTTTCATCACTGCTGCTTGCTTGCTTGCTTGCTTGCTTGCTTGCTTGCTTGCTTGCTTGCTTGGCGGCCGGGGACAGGTAGGCTCTGGCATCTCCTCTGCCTACCATTGCCACCACCAGCACCATTGCCCGGTCCAGAGTGAGAGGCAGGGCGGGTTTGCACAACCATAGAAAGAAAATAAGCCCTGGAGGCATCTCTCTCCCACGTGGGTGTGCCGGTCAGTCATGAGCTGCCTAATTAACATAATCACCCTCGCTGCTTCGGCCTGACGAGGAAGGGTGGCCGTGCTGGGCATCCCAGGGTTTACCCTGCTTGAATTGCACTGGCATGTGTGGGGAAGGGACAAAGGCCGCTCTGGATTATGTTCCCTCCAAGATGATGCACATTTGCGCCCAGGTAAGAGAGCAGGTTGCAGTGGTGAAGAGCAGTCCGGGGCACTCTTGTCACTGAGCCCTACCAAGGTGAGCCTTCGGCAGGTGCCAAACTGCACCTGGCATTGATGCTGGTCCCGGGGCAGTGCACCCCTGCTTATTTGCAGGGTCCATCTCAGTGGGGCCCAAGCCACACACTGTCCAGTAAAGGGCAAGATGGCTTCCGCTCCAGCCGTATCCCAAGGAAGAGTGTTTTCCCCATAGGAGGGAATGCAAACCATTTGTTTAAATAGGCCAAAGTGAAAGCTCTGTGAAAATGGTTATTACTTCCAGTCCTCAGAAGAGAAGTTCAGATAGCTTAGTTCCAATTACCTACTTTTAAATACAGGTGGAGGGGCAGAGAGGGAGGGTGGGCTTTTCTGCAAAAGGCTTGTGACCTGCACACACCTTCTACACAGCATTAACTGTGGTGGAATGGCATTTGTCAAGAAAGGCTGGCTCCCTCCCTCTGGAATGGAGAAATTCAGCAAGGTTTGGGGTGAGGAACTGCTGTAGGACCCCCCAAAAGCCTGGAGGAGAGCTGGATGCCAGCGGCTGGCTAGTTTTGTTTGCTTTTAAAAGAGAAGAACAATGTAAAGCACCATCTGCTGGACACTGCTTCGTTATTACCCAGCAGTCCTTTGTCCTGCTTGAAGTAACACATACAGAAATCCTTGCCTTTGCTTTCAGTGTTTTAATGCACCGTTCTGCTAGACCCTGTCGTCCTCACCAGTGCAAATGCTTAGGATTAGGGTATAATTTTGTGTGATCAATATGCAACAGGGTTTTTAAAAAAGCATAATTTTCTCCAAGTTAGCATAATACATAGTCTGTACAAATAGTTTGAAAGTAAATGCTATATTTTTAGAATTAAATAACTTCAATTTGCTGCAAAGCTGAGCTACAGAAAAGGTTTTTGGGCTGATTTAGTAGACCAACCCTTGCAGAGCTTATTCTGTTTACAGCGAACAGCTTCATAGTTATTTGGTGGCTGGGAGTTCTGTCATGCTTTTCCATATAAAGTGATTTTACAATGAAACGGCATGGAAAAATAAGCCACCTGTACAATGTCAGACTGAGCAGAGGAATAGCAAAGCTGGGATTCCAAGCTAAGGTGACAGTGGGTCAGTCCTGATTCCAATCATGTCTTGCAAGAAGAAAGGTAGAACTGAGAGAGATGAAGAAGCAAACCACACCTGGAAATGGTGGGCACGGGGAGATCCTGGCTCAGTAAAACAGCATAGGCTTTACATGCACAAAGTCCTAGGTTTGATTCCAAGCACCTCCACCCACTTAAAAAGGGCCTAAAACTGCAGATTTGGAAAAAGGCCTTGGAGAGCTTCCAGTACTCAGAATAGACACTAAGGGGCTGGATGGTCCAGTGGTCCAATTTTGCATAAGACCACAAGACCCAGGGCAGCTACCTCCTGTTCCCGTCAGGGTGGGGAGCCTCATCCAGCCTGAGGGTTGAATTCAATTTCCAAGAAGTTCTCAGGTTCCCATTCCAGTGATGCTCAGGGCTGAAGGCAAAGCAGGAGGGTGCCAAAAGCCAAAGAGGTGAAGGAAAATGACCAGCACAGCATGGCTTAACGGTCTTGCTGCCAGTAGCTAAGCCTTGGGAGTGGCCATTCAACCTTTCAGAATCAGGGAAAGCCTCATAAAAGCCAAGAAACCCCCAAATGAGCAGTGGTTGGGGGCAAAAGCAGTGGTTCACCTGGGAAACCCACAGGGTTCATAGAAACATAGAAACAGAGCGAGTCAGAAGGGGTCTCCCGGGCCATCTAGTCTGACCCCTGGCTCCAGCCGGCTCGGCTATGACATGCGGGTTTGATTGGGTCCCTGGACCTGGGGGTTCCCACGCCTGTCCTGTTTTGTCCCATCCTCTGCTAAGGCTTCTTCCTCTCACTATGAGCATCCTACAGGTGTCTGGCATCCACAACGCAGCCGCTGAATCCACAAGAATAGCTGTTCTGGCCTGGAGTAAAACTCTTTCATGCCAGATGAGCACCTCAGGTCAAATGCTCCATCTATCAAGCAAGCAGAATAACCCAGAGGGCCAGTTGGAGAGGGACAGCTGTGTGGCGTGTGTTGCAGCGGAGAGGAGAAGAAGATTCCGGCACTTTCAGGATGCGACAAGTTTATTATGGCATAAATGTTTGTGGAACAGGAACAGGTGACAAAATCAGACATTTTTGGTGATCATGCAGCATTGAGTAAGATTGGTCCAGAGTACAAATCAAGTTAGATTTGGTAAAAGACAGCAATTTTGTACATTGGAAAAAGGTGGTTAAAGGAGGATAATTAGAAATATTTCGTTAGCCACTGGCTGGGCATCTCGGCAATCGCAGCAGCTTGGTCTTCTGATTTGCCAATGCTCTGCCTTCATATAGTCAAATGAACATCCGGTCAACCTCTTGCCACTGCATGAGTTGTAGCAGTGTCATGGAATGACCCCAAGTATTCAAATTCCCCCATGTCACTTAGCATGCACCCTGCCGATGTGCTGGGTAGTTTACAGTAAAAGGTGGAAAGTGCGCCATCAGCCAAATTGATTTTAAAAAGGGAATGTGGCAAGTAGGGGAGAAAAGATACATTAAGAAGATTCAGCAAGTTGATTGTTCTTGTGATTGAATATCAACAGTTCTCTAAAAGAGACAGCATCCTTTTGGTAGCACTAACAGTAGTTTCTACACTGAAGATTTGTCACTGAATGCAGTTTTCTTACTCTTATAAAGAATGTTACACCACAACTGTTTCCATTGAATGTGCATAAGTAATGACAAGGAGCACATTACTTCTGTCCTCCCCTGTTTTCTGCAGCCACTTCTTGAAAGGCCTCGGATTAACAGTCGTGTGACTGCAAACAATGAACAGTCCTCAGCTGCATTTTCACTTCTAGCATTTACCAAAGTGCAGGATCTCCCTCTAGTGGTCACTTGATCTCCTTGCATTAAATAATAAAATGTGCGACAGGAACAACAAAAAGAACAAGGCATCTCGACTAAGGCTACTGAAAAATCTATTCACCTGACTGGTTTTGGATTCAGACTGAGTTTGACAGTATGGATGCTGTTACATCAACGGCATCTTTAAATGCCATGATCTCCACTGAGGGACTTTGCTACTGCACCAATGAATGTCCGAGGCCTGCAAACTAACAAGGGCTTTTCTACATGAGGCGTTTATGGCATACTCATTTTTCCCTACTCACAGTTCATGGGTTCTTTTGACATTGTGAATCTCTGTCCTTGCTGCTGCATTTCATCAGTACTTTTGGTAGGGAAAATGTGGCTTTTAAATGCAAAAGCAAAAGAAAGCATGATTTGTTTTCTAGTGTATTATTAATAGCTTTGGGTAGAAAAGCTCTACAGCACCAGACTTAGATTTTCTGTGAGGGACTGAAAACCATATTGGAACCAAGATTTGGAAGATACCAAGTCTAACACCCAATAATTAAATAATGAGAGCCAGGAACTGCAAAACTTTGATAAAAGCCAATGCCCTAATTTTGTAGTATGTTTTTATTTAAATAAAAAATTTCAACCTAAAACATTTCAACCTAATTTGAGAGACTATATATGTAATGAGAAACTTCAGGCAGGTTGCTTATTAAGGGCAGCTTTACTGGAATGTCTGAACTGACTCAGTTTATAA